TTTACTGTTGCACCACTTTCCTGGCTTCTAACCTTCTCTTGAAATTTGAATCTACTCACTTCGCCTTTCGGATGACATGCACAGAATACCAGTGAATTGTCCAGTCCAACTGTGAATTTCACGCGAGAGAAAATCTGCGATTTAAAGTATTTTATATATTTGTAAAATATTTCTATTGCGAGAGAAAAAGAATTTAGAAATAAAAAATAGTTTTTCAAATAATAAAATATAGTATAAATTTTAAATATGTCAAAATAAATAGATATAGGGAATATGGATAAATAAGAATTGCAATAAAAAGGCTTTCAAGCTCTATTGCATCAAGTTAAGACGTAGGGGGTATCGGATTACTTGTTAATGGGAGACATGGTGGAAGGAAAGTAAAAGGGTCTCGTCGCCAAAGACGAAACCACGTCATTTTGATAGCATGTACTTAAGACACTGGCACATGAAAATACCAGGAAAAGCTTTCTTGCTTCTCGTAAATGTACAACTTTATTGGCCTACCTTTTCTCCAAGATACTAATAGGCACGTGTACTAAGTGCTCACAAATCTTTTAAGTCACTTTCGTCCCTTCAAAATTTACGTTGATATAACAAATTCTGGAAAAGAGGCTGTTTAGAAAAATAGACAAACGTACGACCTACGATTAAATTTCCCCTCTCTGTTATAATTTCACCGTCTTAAAATCTTAAAAATATTGGACACTCGTGCCTCTAACCCCCTTAGATTTTTTAGAAAAATAAAAGAATCTTGAATTATAAAAACTTACCGTTTTGTATATATATTAACTGATCCTAAAGATTGTATAACTTTGAAAAGTAAAATTTTTAACAAAAAGAAGATTATGAAATGTAATTTCCGTTGAATGAAGTAATGCATTAGTTAAAATTGGCTTTGGCTAGAGATAAGAGGATTTGGAATCAGTACTGTCATGTATAATGTGAGTCCTTTTAAGTTTTGTGCCAAGAATAACAAGACCCTTGAATTCTGACTTGGTAAGGAGGTAACAACGAAACTTTGAAATGAAACTTTCTTCATCTCACTCACTCTCCTTTGCATCAAAGTCTCTGCCTCTGACTAGCTCAGCATATACTTCTCCTTCATACTAATGTAAGCGTAGGCCAATTAAGGTAATTGTGCTTCATTCTCTAAAGTAAGGCTGCCTCATCGTCACCACACTCTCCTTAGTTACCTTCAGATCAATACTAACATGTCCATGCGAAAAAAAATCTACTTTAAAACTCGGTTCTTTTCAAAGACTTTCACAAAATTAATACTGACTTTCAATTTTTTTAAATATTTATAATGATAATGTAATATAATTCTCTTGTTTAATAAAAAGGATGAGAAATTAAGAAATGAGATAGATGTAGTGAAAGAAGTGGATGAATAGAAACACATTGTACTGCAGCTTTTGTGAGACAAGTTAAAATGTGGTAACGACATGAACCTTCAAATCTAAAATTCATATCAGTTTTGCGTGTAAAACTTGAATAGTTCATGGTACGCCCAGAAGCCAAATGCATTTAACATTAAGTCATAAACGTAAACTGCTGAAAAACGATCTATAAAACGAGGAAGCAATCTATAAAATGCTATTTTCCTGTATACTTGTTATTACCGCAGAAAATTAAAAATTGCGTGAATTCAAAACTTCCACTTCGTTACTGTTACTAATTAAAATTAAATCGGGAAACACTTCTCATTTTTTTTTTAATGAAATTCAAAAACTAAAAATAATTTAACTAATGTTAAAATTACAATAAAGATATAATTTTAAAGAGAAGATAAACTGATAATAAATTTTTTGAAAATATACAAATTATCGGAAGCTAGTCACGAAAATCCCCCCGTAATCACTAAACCACGAGATAATTTCTGTTCTGCAGCAGCACTAAATTGCAATCTGACTAAATCCATTTTAGCTATTGAACATTCCGATCTGATTACAATTTTCAGGGACTGTTACAAAATATGAAGTAACTATCTGGTTCTAAAGCCCGTTTATCCCGTACATATAGTCCTGTCTTTGGTCGTTGAATATTGTGGATAGGTTGGATGCAATAGTAAATCCTTTATCGTGTATCCTTTATCCTTCATAAACACCCCGCCGAGTACGCGGCTTTCCAATTCATGCTTCTCATCTTCTGCTTGTGGACGTAAAACGACTCGTTTCATGTAAACAGAGAGAAACTCCCCTTCTCCCACATTATCAATGACCTATTCACATACACAAGACGGAAATTAATCTCGGGCTTTCAGAGATTATCATCTGCTGGTAACAATGAACATCTTGTTTTAATCTACCACACCAACGCAAATTTAAATTCAATTTACACTTGATTTACACTTGAAAATTTTGAAATAATAATTTTGACTTCCTCTGCTTACGCAGCGAAAACAGTAGTTGTGATTTGTCACCAAGGACTTCGAATAGTGACCATTTTATTTCTTAAGAACCACTTGTGGCGATAACATAACTTGTAAATGATACTTGAAATATATTTCAAAATACTTTTACGAGAGAACAAATTTACTGTGCAACAATAATCTGGAATTTAGAGCACCTTTAGTGGATTTATAAGCTTGAGGGACTTTTGACGACTAACCATAAAAACCAACCAGAAAGTCAGTTAAAGAATAAAGACAGTAAGAGAGTAATAAATAGTAAAGCGTCGCGTCGGCATTTACAATTTTAAAAAACGTTACAACTTTTCTTTCAGTTTGATTAAATTTAAATAAATAATTCTTCTAAAACGTAAATCCCTTTCTGATATACTATTCTATTCGGCTTTATTTTCATAACAATCATCAGAGATGCAAAACAGATTGTAGCCGGGATTCTACTTTAAATTTTGATGACATTCATTTGAGATTATATTCGAAACTTAATATGGACGTTTATCTACTAACACTCAATTATTCATGCTGCACAAATCTATGAAAGATTTTTTTTTAAAGTAAATAATTAGCTTTGTTTTTGAATAGTAATTTTGTATATGTCAGATAGGCTAACAAGGCATTTATAAGGATTTGGAGTCAAGTCACTAACGATCACAAACGTTGAGCTTCCTGAATCACATGTATGGTTGTTGTAACCTGGATTACCTCGCCGATGATGCTTTAACAAACGAATCATTTACATATGCCGAGCTTCAGTTAGGTGAATAGGCATCAGTGATCTTGCCATCACCATTTGGATCACCCATGTGTTTGTCTTAGGTAGCTGTATAGCCTCAGTGCTCTTGCCTTCAACAACAGAATGGAATAACAGCATGGCTTTAGTCGAGTGAATAGCTTCAACTTCAAAAGCTCAGCAATTAACCGAGCCTAAATTAACTTCTTTGCAATGTACATGAAATGGAGTTTTATATTTAGAAAAGTGTTCTTTTTCATCAAAAGAGGGTACAAGTGACATTTGTTGATAAAAATTGTCTAACATATAATTATTCGATTGGGTAAATTACAAATTCATTTATATTCTAAATAATCTTGAGAATTATTATATTGACATCTGTCAATTTGGTCTAATATTAATTATGAGATTAGTTAATAGAAACTGCTCCCGGGTTTTAGAGTTTTAAAAACGTTATTGTAACCAGGATTCTACTATTTCTTTTCTGCGAGCAATATTTTACTGTAGCCACAAAATGATTAGAAATTCAATTTTTGTTGCTAATTGTAGTCAAAGATAGCAATTGTCATAAAAATATTGACGTCTAATTATTCGATTGTGTAAATTACAAATCTTTTTTTCTAAATAAACAAACGTTTATTTGTTAAGATTGTTCCATCTTGGATCTTCCATCCAAGATGGAAGATCATTATTTTTTTCAAAAAAAAAGATGACTGCTGACTCTAATTATAAGATCAGTTATTAGAAATTGCTCCTTTGTTGTAAAAAACTAAAAAAAAAACTTATTGTAACCAGGATTCTACTATTTCTTTTCCAACTGCAATAATTTTAAGAAAAAATTAAAACTACAAATAAAATTTCAATTGCTAATTGAAGTCCCCAAGATATAAAAATTCCCCGACCTGATAAAATATAATAAAAAATTGCAGACACACGCGACAGTAAATAGTTATCACCGCACATGTGCTGCACACGTAAATGAAATTGAGAATTAATGACTTGAAAATTGTAGAGATTGTATCACTTACGCACATGATGTCATTATTTCGGAACAGTTGTTTATTATACAGTTTTTCGAGTTAACAGTAAACACAATTGGGGTGTTTGTTTTTATATCAGTTTTTGTCGTGTCAGACTGAGGAGCAACGATCCTTTTATTGTTCCAAACCAAGTGATAAAGCAGTAAATGGCAGTTAACGAGTTATTGATCTTCCGATAGTGAACTCTATGTCCAGTTACTCTTCTCTGCAAAAGGTCACGGTTTATTGCAGATTTTATCGAAACCACTTGAGTTTCTTTTTTTTTTTACTGTAAAAACAAATCGTTTGTTAAAACGAACAATTTTTTTTTTTGCAAGCTGACGAGTATCTTTTGTTATTCTCCAATATTCGAAAAACTCAACATTTAATTTGAAAACAATTTCTTTCAGTTTTTCCTTTAATTACGTTCTACAAACTGAGAGAGAAAATTAAGTAAATAAAAAAAAACTTTTATAACCCGCATCAAAAAGTTTATTATAAATTTCAAAAGTTTATATTATACATTGAATGCTGTGTTAATATTTTTTTAGTACCTCATAAAAAATCCAGGTAAATTGAATCTGTTTATTTTGTATTAAAGATACTTTTTACATGTTTACGAAAAGTTGGAAGTTTATTTAATTTTTCATTATATTAAAGTTGCATGAAATACTCTTGAGTAATTTTAATTAAAAATAAAATAGAATTTATATTAACTCGAAAAATTTTATATGCAATAATTGTAATTTTTTTATGGATAATATTTATCAGAATTTATTTTGGTTTATATTTATTAAAAGACAAATAAGCATCTTTAGAATAAGTGTAGAGAGGAGTAGAAATAATTTCGATATCGGATTAAGCGTCACTTTAGATTAGATATCACACGACATTGATAGTGAAAATTTATTTTATCGTGCCACTCTTCTTCAGTATGTATTTTCTAAGTAGTTTCTCATTAATTATAGTACACAATTCATGATTCAAAATATTTGTGAACAAACTTTCAACGCTATATTTTGGCACAAAGAATGGATATAAATAATGAAAGAATAGCAGATTTATCAATTAGTGACAAGAAAAGTGAAATTGTGCAATTTGTTTTTGGAATTTGTGGTAAGTTCCAAATAGCAGTGGGAAAACAATTATTAGAAAGATTATAGGTTATAAGTGATGACATAAAGAGCATGAGTGTACGAAGTCTGGCTATAAGATAAACGGAATTATTTAAAGTGAAATTATTATAAATAACAATTTAACAATTATAGTTTTATAAAAATTCTATAACTGAAAACGAGATTGGAATTTAATTTTTCGTAAATGATTGCAAAGGATTTGATTAATTTTTTCTAGTTTCAAAATATTTGCGTCATTCAATTATAGGAGATGAAATTTAGATGGAATTAATTCTAGTACAGTTTGCAACGCAATTGCCTAACATATTTTTACAGTGATGACATAATTTAAAATATTTAAATGATGCAATGTTATAGTTTACTGACATCGATATTTAATCTGTTTGAAAACTCTAATTATCTTTACTCATAGTTTCATATAACTTTACTAAATTTCACATTTTTTCCAAGTTTTGAATTACAATAATATAAATAAAAACTGAGTTTGTCACATATACTTCTGCACTTTTTGACACTCTTGACAAATGAACCAATAGCAAGCGTCATCGCTATAATTTCTGACAAATACCTACCTAGCGGATTTGTTCAGTGTCACCATCCAAATTCCATGACTTTGATGTTTTTGTAAACATTCAAAGTGCTTGTAATTTTTTTTGTCAAAGAACAACTCACTAGTGGTAACATAATTTGAAATATATTCATTGAAACGAATTCTAATGTAATTTGAAACAATTTTTCAGCTTCTCTCTCGGCAATTGTTTGCGGTGCTTACCAGGCATGGCCATCCCCAGCAATAGCTCATCTGAGAAGTAAGGAGACACACATACGAGTAACGGACAATGATGCAATGTGGATAGTATCCTTGTACTACGCTGGGGATTTAGTGGGGAGCTTATTAAATTTCTCCCTGATCGACAGGATTGGACGAAAATATACACTATTGGCGTTTACAATTCCAGAATTGATAGGATGGTGTTTGATCATCTACGCTAAACATCCTTTATTCTTCTACATCGCTAGATTTTTGGGTGGAGTTGGCGAGGGTGGCGTTTATTCCACCCTAATCATCTACTTGAGTGAAATAGCCGAGAAGAATGTTAGGGGTATTCTCGTTAACATAATGGTGATTGCAAACTATATTGGTGTTTTTATTTTTACGGCAATTGCGGCTTACTGGTCGTACGATACTTTGAACTATATGTCTATTTTCGTAACTATCATGTCCCTGTTGATATTTCTTATTCTTCCTGAAACACCTCATTATTATTTGATGAAGGGTCGCGATATGGATGCAATGGATTGTTTAAAAAAATTGAGAAGATCTACTAAACCAAGTGTTTTGACGTCCGATATGGAGACAATGAAATTGGCAATTGCTGAAGATCAAAAGGCAAGTACGGCTGGTTTTTGGAAAGTTGTTACCAGTAGTAATAATCGGAAGGGTGTTTGTATTATTTTTGTCCTGGAGGCTACTGAATGTTTATCAGGAAGATATGCCACCGTTTCCTATGCGCACGAAATATTTGGTATGAGTCCCTTACCCTTGAAGCCCGGAATTCAAGTAATGATTAGAAATGGAATGCAATTTCTAGCCTGTGTTGCTGCTACGGGAATAATAGATCGATTTAACAGAAAATCACTTTTTTTAACAACTGCTATTTTTGATGGACTTTGTCTGGCGGTGGTGGCTTTTTTCTTCTTTTTGAAGATATACCTGCTAATTGATGTCACGTCTTTTGCCTGGGTACCTCTAGTGGCTCTGACATCCTACGACGTGATAGGTTCATTTGGAGTCAGTCCACTGCCTTACATCATAATTGGAGAACTTTTTCCGATAAGTATTAAGGGTCCTATGGTCGCAAGTGGAATGATCTTGGGTCCTGCTTTTAGTTTCATTACTTCCGCTATGTACGAGCCGGTGACGAACAATTGTGGTATCTATACAACATTTTTTCTCTATTCAATACTAATTACAACCGGAGCTGTAGTTATTTATCTAATTCTCCCTGAGACAAGAGGAAGAACTTTGGAGGAAATTCAAGCAATTCAAAATCCAGTATTAAGACTCAAAATCGAATCGAAGAATCTAAACGAAACAAAAGTGGATATTAGTGAATTAAAAACTTTCATAGATAGCGACACCAATACCTCCTTAACTCATAGACATTGGCTAGAAAGTTGAAAAGTGAATATTTCATTATTTCTCTTCAGTATTTCTAGAATCGGCTTTGAGAATCATTAAATAATTTAATGAAATACCTTTTTTAAGATCTGATAGCGGAAACGGATAAATATTCAAAGATCGGATTTTCGAATCGGATGAATGTTAATTATCCGATATAGAAATTATATACATACAAATTTGTATAGTCTTAGGCAATATTTATTGTTATTAATATTCCTAACAGCAACAGATTCTAATCCTACTGTTGGGGTTCAACCAAATAGTGATATTATAAAAAATATTGGTCGGCAATTGTAAATGTATTAGAAATAATATTTATATAGTGAAACAATAATTATTATTATATTAATAATATATTTTGTCCTTCATTAATATTGTGAAACATTCCATATTCTCATGTCAATGTAAAAGAGATAAAACAAAAAGCAGTAAATGGGGATAAACATTAAAAATGCCTCTGCTGCTTTTCAAAAGCATGTGAACCCCCTGATCTCAGGATTGGAGGGGAATGAATATTTCAACGTTCACCGGAAGGAAATTTCCTTGTCGTAAATTCCTATTATTTTCATCGAAGACGTTTTTTGAAATAAAAATATGTTATATTAACGGTATAAAAATTTTATTGGTAGTTTAATTACTAATTAATTATTAGATTTATATTATAATCTTCAATTTAAAAATTAATGCACATATAAAGGGTACTTTGAACTTTATTTTGACATATTTATAAAAATAATTTTTTTTAAACTTCTACAAAGAATTTGGGTGGATCCTCCGAAGCGAGACATTTTGCGGTGAGCAGGATATTTCTGGACTGGATCTGCATCTTCAGCACCTTCTAGAACTTTTTTTTGGTTTTGTTCATTCACAATAGGAAGGTAGAAAAAAGGGACAGTGACAATGTTTACAAGCTTGATTGTAACTTGAAAAATATTCAACGGATCGTCTTGAAATTTTCTGAGTGTAGTCTTAAATACATTTGTATATTTCGAAAATGCAATAAAAAATCGAATTCTTCAAAATTCTGAGTGGATTTGGAAAAGTACGGATAACAATCGTAATAAATACATTTGCGGTCAGAACATCTATTCAAAGACCCTTCAACTTTCAAGAAACCTTTAAAAAATTCAGAACTATATAAAAAAAGGGGTTGAGCACAACTGAATTCATATAGAAGAAATAAATATTACAATGGCTTTTCGCGCCAAGGAGAGAAACTTTTTCGCGCTTATTACCCCCTGGAATATATTCGTTGGGGGAGCGAGTTTCACGGGACTCGTTTCTCGACAGCTTATCTGGAAGGGATGTACAATTTTCTGTCTCCGTAGTCCTCTGAAAAAGTCCCTCCCATCCTGGTCGTAACAGAACCCTCGTCGTTGTCGTGGTGGGCTGAAGGCATCCCATGTGCCATGGTGTGTATATACGCCAGTGTGGTGTGGTTATTGCAGTCATGGTAGGGTCGATACTTTCACGTACACACATTTATATATATATACATATATATACAGAGGAGAGTAGTAGACATTCCAACGTGTTGGTATACGCAGTTCCAATTACGACGTTTTAGAAAAGCTTGGAAAGAGGAACTCTCTGGATAACCACCCTCATGCCCTCAGGCCTCGACCATCCCAACTACAGATCTCGTAGTGCAGTCTCGTTAGATTTTCTTATTCGGTTATATATCGGCATTGCCTATGCCTGCAATAACCTCTTGCCCCCTTCTACATTCTCCTTCTCTATCTCTCTCCAACCACCCACTATTTTCAAACCTCCTGGTTTTATATGTATATCTTTCTCACTCTCTTCTCTCTTATACACACGCTTGGCTTATCTTACTCGTTTTATGTCCTTCCATTTCCACCCCTAGCCGATTTCCGTGTTCAGTAGTAGAGTCATTATTAGGTGTATCGCATCCGCATTTTGTGTTTCTTATTTATTGGTTATCGCCAGTTACATTGTACCATTTATTTATAGTTTTCGGGCTCCTTGGTGCATTTCTTCGGTGATAAAAATATATCAAGAGTATTTTCAACAGAAGACAGTAAAATACCTTAGATAATCCATAATTATTATCTCTCTGATGATTCCACTCAATATGGATTGTCTTTCGCTGATTACGAATCTAAAGACAGATTAACAAAATCCAAAATGGCGGATCCAAAATGGCGGTAGTTTTTTAAATACTAACCAAATTGTTATGAAACTTAGTATCCAGAGGGTTTTAAGATAGCTGATTACGAATTGAACCTCTTCAGCCACCCTATCGTGGTAACTTAAACGACCTAGGCACCTGGTATATTAGATTTTTTATTTTACAAAAACCTTTTAACTAGAGTACATAGTAGAACAATTTTTTTATCACATCATGCATCAAATCCGTATGAAAAATGAAATATAATCACTAACAGCTTATCAAACATCAATTTCAAAATCAATTTTAATTTATCAGATTCCATGAAAACTATCTTTGGAATTTAATTTGTGACAACCAGCGAACGAGTTTTTCTATATATATATAATGCAAACATTTATTTTTAACTCAAACGAGTTTTATATGAAAACTTTGAAAATTGAAATAGAAACTATTTGTAATGTTTCTAATTTTAATTAACGTTTGGTTAACATTGAATTTTGTATCAAAAATATATTTTTACTCTATTCCATTAGAAATAATGTTATAAAGAAAAATTTTGAAGTAAAATCTAACAGCGACCAATAAAAAATTGGACATTCTCTTTTATAACGTCAATAAAAACTTAATTATCTAGATAATTTATGTTACAGGATATAAAAATGTTATCTATACGTTTTACTTTATGCGTTTTCGGGACATAGGTCTCGTTGAACATTTGGCTGCCTTTATATGGCCAGATTTTTATTACAAAAATTTAATTTCTGTTAAAATTGTGATTATAAAACTATTTGGAAAATTAATTTATCTCTAGGAAAATAATTAAAAAATGATTAACATAAACGACCCAGGCTCGACCCACGAAAAGACTTCTTTTCGAACCCCTTCAGAATAAAAATAAAATTCTTATTCTAACGCAATAAATCCGTTTGTTAATAATTATTTATCTATAATTGTCACTTAAGGTGAGAAAAATTTGTAAACGATCCAAAAGTAGAATATAAATTAAAAAGCTCTTGAAGCAACGTATATATAGTCAGTGAAAGTCAGTCTTGCAGAAAACATCCTTTTATTTTCTTTCAATTTTCTAAGTGAATGTAAACAATGGGGTGAATTTAAAGTAAAGAATAAATTAAATTCAACAGAAGCCATTAAATGTAAAGTTATATTTATTTAGGAATTGTAATAAACAAGAATATTTTGCATTTTTAAATGTTTTTATATTTTTTTTTGTCAACAATTCAGAACTAATCGTACCAAACTGGGAGTAATTTCAGTCGTGCGAGAGACTTTAATCGAGTTTCACGCAATTGACGCGAGTGCCACTTTGGTAATGAACTTACTGGGAAACATGCTGATTAACGGGTAGAGGAGACATCCACAGTAAATCCATACATGTGTGTCTTTACAGATGTATTCAACAAGGCCTAAGCATATACTTCGGTATATGCGCAAACATATACATGTGCATATATAGACTTGCAGTTTGACCAGAGTTTGTGCAATTTAGTAAGTCAAGTTTACTCCAGACTCAAGTCCATGGGCTAACTTTGTAATTTTCAGGAGTTTCATGATGCCTTACCCTATTATAATATTCTATTTCCACCTCAATTTCTAAATTCATTAAAACAACAATTTGGACAACTTTTCGGTAAGTTATCTTGCGTTTCCTAAGCAACTGTGATTCTTTTTGATAATTTTACGAGGGGGTAGTATAGTGCTGAGAGGCAGCAGTCAATCCTTTATTCGGGATCGAGTATCCAAGGTGGAACAATCTAATTCAAGTTTATTTATAAAAAAGAGTTTTGTAATTTCACAATCGAATAATTAAAATTCAGATAATGTTTAGACGTCACGTTGTGACAATTGATATCTTCGACTACAATTGGTAATCAAAATTTTATTTGTAGTTTTTGTGTGGCTAAAAAGTATTGCACACAAATAAAATAGTAGAATCCTGGTTACAATAACCTTTTTTTTAGTTTTTTACAAGAAAGGAGCAATTTCTAATAACTGATCTTATAATTAGATGTTAGACCATTGCTAGACGTCAATATATTAGTGACAGTCAGCAGCCATCCTTCATTCGAGATGGAGTACCCAAGGTGGAACAATCTAATTCAAGTTTCTATATAAAAAATTATTGTTATTGATATAATCAAATAATTAGATGTTAGACCATCATTAGGCGTCAAAATATATTTGTGACACTCAAACATTAGTAAAAGACTTTTTTCCCACCTCTAGTATTCTAGGGATGATCTTGATGATTTCTATTATCTTGAAATTTATAAAAGTATTAATTTTTGTACTGTCTTCCATGAATCCTGACTTCAACATTTCGTACATTTTCCTTCTTGAGACAAAAAACAATTTTTCTTTATTGTTATATGATTGATGACTTAAGGAAGCAAAAGCAAAGCACGAAGGAGCTAATAAGGCAGAACGCGGTCTGGATAATGCTGCAGATAATTATGGGAATATCAGAAGAACAGCAGAGAGCGTATCTACGAACGAGAACTTAGCGCATAGTCATTGAGGCGTAGAAGAGAAGAGGTTCCGGCACTTCAGAAAGGATCGAAGAAAAAAAGACACAGGAGAAGGAAGAACCTCGAGAGGAAATCATCAATACGCTATCGTCACATGAGAAGAGTAAACCCTTTCCTTCTTAAACTTTATTTATAAATGATTTGTAATTTATACAATCGAATAATTAGATGTTATCTACAGTGGTAGATACATTGAGTGTGCTTCTTAAATGCGCTGAAGCTGACTGTAAGAAAAGTCCACGTTAGATTAGGAGACCTAATTTTTTCCATCCCTCGTCTCAATTTTAATTGGTTCTCAAATTTTCCTAATTTGGAAAGTTATAAACCTTTTTTAAAACTTTCCTTATGTTCCTATATTTGTCGACTAATAAAAGTTATTAAAATATTACGAATGTTTTTATGGACATAATTGGATTTCTTCAGTCTCTATCCACTCTTTGTGAATATACATATTTACAAATGAATAGCATATATCATGTTTGTCGTAGCCAGAGGCAAAACACTTGTTCTGCAAATGTAGATTTTGTGCTTTTCCATCCACAAGTCCCTATGGCCAGAAATTTTTATTTTAACTAAAAAATTTCCTATGTTATTTTCTTTCATATTGATGAACACGTTTAAAAAATCCCAATGTCAAAATATTTATAAATAGAAATTGGAGGATAAGAAGCTGATTTTCAATTAGAAACGAGCTAATATTATTTGAAATAAATAACTAATAGATTTGGTAGGAAATTGCAATTCGGAAAGCAGTTACTTAATGCTAAAGTCGCATTGTCGGGTTTTAGCCTAATCGCGCAGTTTCACACTGGAAATAGAACTACCGTGATTGCGAACTTCGAGGTGTAAGGTTCCGGATGCTTGGGGTTATTTCCTCCTAAAACTGTTTCACTATTTTCGTGCAAACCTGTTACCCCATGAACTTCCCGACATATGTTGAAATTCGTTTCCCTCGAAAAGTATGTTAATCAAATGTTTCAATTCTATTAATTCTAATTTTAATAATTGTTTTTAATTAAGGGAATTAAAAATTATTTTCTAAATAATTATCTTGTTATACCAGATAATTATTTTCTAATTACAAATTATATTTGTTTATTAATCCGGGTTTAGCTACTTATAACATTATATTAATTACTCCACACAATTTCAAAATTAATATTTAATTTGTAATGTAATAAAATTATTTTACATCATTAAATTTTCATCAGGTACACTGTTTTTCACTGAAAAGCGACTCCGTTTGAACCCCCAGGCGTTCATTTGTATAACGCACGTAGTTTTCCCTTCGTTTCATAATTCGATACAAAAAAGCAAAGTTTCGAAGTCACGAGAAATATTCATTTTGAGTTTATTCGCCTAAGGGAATTCAGCTTTCCGCCCAGCGCACAATCATAAATATATCTCACAAACAATTGTAAAATAAACCATATTAGGCAATTTTTGTGTAAATTAGTAGTATGCAGAAACGAAGTTGTGCATTTTTAAAATAAATATCCTTCGTAAATTTTTTGAATAAGCTGCATTACATATTTGTGGAGATTCTAAAGATTTCATAGAAGAAAATTTTCCAGAGACGCGACATCATTATGTACAATTAATAAAGTTATAACACGAATTCATTCACAGAAGGAAACAGAACGACAACTTTTTTCTCCCCCTCTATATTTGAAAGTTCAAAAATGATGTTCCTATAAGTTTCCTAAATGCTTGGAAAAAAGTTTCAATTGAAAGAAACTGGAACAGTGGAATTCCATGTTGTGGAAAGGTTGAAAGCATTTACCCCGAATAGCCGGAGGGACTTATCAAACCAGAAACTTGGCGAAAGAAAGTAACAAAGATTTCGCATCAGTCCTTGGTAGAAGTTTCGACGCCCGTGAAATTTTACGAGCTAGTCAAAAAAAAAGTAAAGGGGAAGAATTTTAAAACTTTCGACTGATGCCAAAGCCGCAGAAGTTAAATCGATACGTCAATTTGCATATTTATAAGCTTAATAATAAATAGGTTCCAGGGTGCCGAAAGTCTTTCGGAAGTCGTACATAGAAGATGAGAAATAAGCTTTCAGAAACTTAAATTTAGTATCTAAAAGCTGCACTCTTTGCCATCTACTTCCTAAGTCTATTTACTCTCACAGTACTGACCTAATATCAAAGTTTTCCTATATAAGAAAGCAAAACTTGAAGAAGTAGTTGTTGTATTGTTGTGGGAAATTTTACACGACTTTGTAAAGTATATTAGCGCTGGAGGAGGAGAGGTTTAATGTTTTTATTGGGATCGGTTATAATTTTATTATTGGGGGGTCTCTTAGATAGTTGGGAAATCTTTGACAAAATTATGTCCTGGGATTTCTAACAACAGTACAAGTGAATTCGAGTTCTTAAAGAATAAATTCTCTTGATAGTGGCAGTCAGCAGCCAGCCTTCATTCGGGATAGAGTATCCGAGGTGGAACAATATGATTCTTGAGATTATTTAGAATATAAAAGAATTTGACATTTATACAATCGAATAATTAGATGTCTCAATAATTAGAAGATCCCAAACTAATTCCCAAGTTTATTCAGAAAAAATGATTTGTTATTTACACAATCGAATAATTAGATGTTCATCCTTTATTCAGGATGGAAGATCCCAAACGAATTTCCAAGTTCATTCAGAAAAAAGATTTTTGTAATTTACACAATCGAATAATTAGATGTTCATCCTTTATTCAGGATGGAAGATCCCAAACGAATTTCCAAGTTCATTCATAAAAAAGATTTTTGTAATTTACACAATCGAATAATTAGATGTCCATCCTTTATTCAGGATGGAAGATCCCAAACGAATTTCCAAGTTCATTCATAAAAAAGATTTTTGTAATTTACACAATCGAATAATTAGAAGTCCACCCTTTATTCAGGATGGAAGATCCTAAACATTCAGAAAAAAATATTTGTAATTTACACAATCGAATAATTAGACGTTGGATCATTCTGCATACACTACAGGAACAAATGATTTAAATTAAGAAAACTAAAGATTCATCTATTCAAAATATGTGACGCAGTTAAATCAGTAAAAGGAAAATAATTACTTACCTTATTTGTATGTTCTGGGGCAGCAAACGAAGTTCCGCACGTGCGCATTCAAAATTCCATTCTCCCTTTCTTAAAATCAAACAGACCCTTCAAATTTCTCTTAATGGATGGAATATCGAAACCTCACAGAAGGATATGATTAAGGAACCCTCCTCGCCTTCAAAAAGGCTGGCTTAGTCTCGTTCAAGGGTGAATAAGAGCTTGAGTAGAGCAATGAATCCGTCAACTCGGTCATCAAATTAAATTTCTTTCAGTATTTTCCCATCAAGTAAACATGTAAAGTTCCGTTATCATTAAATAATTTATTAAGTTTGAAACAATTTTGAGTTTAGAATCCAAGGTATCTGTAAGCGGATTTCCCAAAAGTCCCTAAGCAAAAAAAAATTAAATAATGGAATACAAAGTAAAAAACAAAATTTCATTTGATGCAATTTTATTAGTTTGAGTACAATGATAATAATATTAATAATACACTTGGCAAATTTAATCGGCAGTATTTTATATACAAATATATACAATGTGATTCTCACCTTAGCGTCGAGTATTCGATTTTACCGTCTAAATCGGCTTATCAAGGAAACCCTACATTATTGCTTGTTGTAATTTAGAACATATATGACCTCTTAAAACACATAATATCGTGTTCGTTCTTGCATTCACAACGTTTCGCACAAAATATCTAAAAGGCGACGAGTAGCAAAAAACGTATAACAATTGTAGAACAAAGAATTGGGTGTGTATAGAAACATGAGAAAGTAGAAAGACGAGATATCTATAAAGACTAGAAACAGTATATTATTTATTTTACACTCGACTGTCTTGAAGTTATCTTTATCGAGTATTAGAACTTAATAATTAGATATATTTTTTTTTACTCTCATTCACATTATTCTTATTTTTAATTTATCCATTCATCAATATTCACGACAATAATTTAATGTTTTATTGTTTTTTTTCTTGTGCACTTACGTTAGTGCTAACACTTATTAATACGATATGATATGAAAAGGTACGATGGATAATCGGATAAATTCAAGCTCCAACGTATAAACGTGAGAAAGTACAGTCTTTCGGAATTGCATTCATTTAAATGCATATATCAATTTGATAATTCATTTTCGCTTAATTTCTGGTCAAATTAAATTTTAGTTTATACGAAAAAGTACTTATACTTTTTCAAATATTTTTTTCGAAAGGAAATTTTAAAAGCCATTATATATTTCTAGGGGAAATGAAAAGAATACTTGAAAATAGGGGGAAAAATGACCTTTAAAATTCAGCGCCACAGCAGTTTGTCTCGCTGGGAGTTTCTTCGACAATTTTTTCAAGAGTTTGCAATTGGAGAATATCGTTGAGATCCTTAATTCGATCGATGGTGAATGAGCATGGAGATCCAATCTCTTGAAAAAGGCCCTTTTTCAGGACAGATAGGTACCCCTAGCTTTGAATAACGTCGCTCATGTACTCTTCATGCAGGTCAAGAAGATGACGAGGAACATCGAGTGCTGTATGGAGAGTGACAGTGACACCGCGATTAAGGCTCACTGCAGGATAGAATACCCCATAGAGATCCCGAAAGGCAACTCCTCCTTGAGGTTGGTCGTTGACAAAGAATCTTATGGTGTGGGTTGTGTCTAGATCTAGGAGAACCCCAACAGTTGAACCTTGTTGAACACCTCCGTCTGTTCTTTGGGCGTGCCTGCCAGCGTGCATGAACCAGGATCTCGAACGATCAATGTACATGCTGTAGCCTTTATCGTCCTTGCCTGCAAGAATATCAACACGAGAGATTCATTAATTACTTGTAATGGAAGTGATAAAGGGTGCGAGATAGATTTTAGGGTAGTACTTAATTAAAAAGCCTCGCCGAACATTGAGGGTGGATTTTCATTCAATATTCTTATAATTTCCATTCTATTTCCTTTTCTCTTTATAGAGGATTACACACCATTCTGATGATATAGCCAAAAAAAATTTTTCTATCCTTCCCGTTACTATTACAAAATATGAATCTCCGTTCATTTTCGTTCGTTCTCTCAGACGGAGAATATCTTTAAATTTGAAGTTAAAAAAAAGATTTTTGTAATTTATACAATCGAATAATTAAAATTCAGATATTGGTAAAAAAAATATTTACTAGAATATAGCGTATTAGAGAGGGAAAGTTATTTTGTAGTTTAACAATTAGTCGACATACTGACCGAGCATTTGATCACGAGAAACGTCACATCGAGCAATTCCGAAAGCAGGGTCTGTGTCACTTTGAATTCGATCAATTGTAAGTTCCCAATAGTGGACTCCTCTAGAGAATCCTGTTCCTGAAAGGACTACTCGATGTTCGTATCCTTCGCAGGAAGCACTCATTGCATCCTCGGAGATAGAAACTTCCTGTGGCATTGTGGAGTCTCCTGTCGCCCATGAAAACCAAGCCACTGAAAATTTAAAAGCAGATCATTTTTTAAATAAGAGATTGAATTCTGAAAAAAAAGTTGAAACCAATTTAGTAAAACTCGATTCCAAATCATATATTTATTTTATGTGAATATAAAACGTCACTCCTGACAGGAATTTTTTTTATGAATCAGATTTTAGAAGTTATTATAAACGAATTTGTTCTGAACCGACAAATAACGTAAATGTCATTTTATATGTGAATTATTTGAAAATATGGATTATTTCGAAACGATAGCAGTGCATATAAAATCTTGGAATATTTTTTTATGGATGCAATGAATAGAGTTTTACGCTTTCACGCTTCCTGATTTTTTCAGAGACACTTGAAGTCGTGCTTTGAATAAAAAAGGATTTACGATGTTTTCGGAGGATTTTACGATAACCCCTTGGCTCGTAGAATTACTTACCCTCAGCGGTCTGTAAACCTATCAGCTGCGAGTATTCCCCTTCTCCAGCACTGTTGAAAGCTCGCACCCGTGCATTGTACAGTGAATTAAAGTGCAATCCATCTACCGTACAGATCGTCTCCCGTCCGCAATATACTTCCTGTTCAGAGAAAAAAAGAAGAATAGGTTTATGGTCAAAGTTTTTGATATTGCTTATAAAAAGTACTTTAAAGGGCAATAAAGTTGTAAATTACGATTCGCACCGAAACACTTGATAGATACATTGAATATTTGTAATATTAACAATAGGAGTAAATTTTTCAGCTAGGAATAGTTTTCAGCTATTCGATATAATCTTGAATTTTAATTTTGGATTTTGGAGCAACAGAAGGATCTTCGATTTCTAATTAATTCGATAGAAAACTGAATTATTTTGCTATTATTGTCGGGAATTATTGGGACAAACGCATTGCGATGAAACAGACGAATAATCAAACCTTAATGAGAAATTCCCTAATCTACTTGAATTCGACTGCAGCAGACATTTGACGACACTGCAAATTATTGACATTGTAACCGTATTGATAATGCCAGCAATCAATTCAATGTTCTGTTTGAGAGGCTCAATAACTTAAACAACATGAAATCTTGTCAAAACAGTATCTCGCGAACAAAGCGACAAATGAATTGAAATTTTTTTTCTTTTCATAGTGTGACACATTTTAAAATATCAATCGCACATGACACATATTATTCTTTTTGTATTTCAGAAATTGTTTACTGAAAAATTTGAAATGTTTTAATGATACAATTGGAAAAATGAAGAGGACTCCATTTTCGACATTCGCGACTTGAATTGTCTTACCCAGGTAGAAGAGGTCCAACAGGTATTGGTAGAAGCTCTAGGGAAGCCGGAGAGCAAGAAGATACAAAAGCTATGAAAGCTGTGATGAAAGGGTCGACTATGGTCATTCCCGTTGCTCAAGGAAAGACGTATGCTGACGTTTTGGGTAAAATTCGCAAAGAAGTTAATCTAGACGTGAGTCACACAAAGGTTGTAAAAGCAAGAGCTACAGAAAAGGGAAACTTTTCATATTCGTGACTTGGATTGCCTTACCCAAGTAGAAGAAGTCCAAAATGTCGTCAGAAACCCTTCGAGAGTCAATGACTCTCAAAGGTGGCTAGGTTGTAGTCACTGGCTTAGAGGTAGCAAAAAAGCGTTAGGTTACATAAAAATTGGTTTTATGTCTTGCCCAATTAGAAAAAAAATCCAGGTGGTACGTTATCATCGATATCTTGGATAGGATCCCAGAAGGTCTAAAATCGAGAACAATTAGGTAAGGGAAAATTATTAACGGTATAGGTCCCGTAAGCGAAATCCCAGGGACTTTTTCCTACGAAGTTAAAACCCAGACGGTAATTCCGTAGAAGAGGGAACTCAAACTAAAGACGGAAGTGGTTTTTAGTGGATCGACCAGAACAACAGTGGTCAGCTCCACCAGGATTTCCATCCAGATATCTGATCAACAGATTCTCCTTCCGTTAATTGCGAAATAGCGTACAACCTTCCTGTGGTAGTGACATTCTCCAAGTTGAACCTTATTGCAGCAACATTTTCGTGAAAGACTTTCCTAAAATTACGAATCGACAAGAAAAGGAAATTACCCAAGACTTAGTCGAAATACCCTTTTGCGAAATGCAAACAATTTGCTAAGAGGAATTTCTTAATTTATTATCATCAAGAAATTATTATATGCCTTAGTATCTAAAATAACTTTTCACTTTACAGTCTGCTTATAAACATAAACTATTCATTTGTGTAAAAATTTCTCTTAATATGAAAAATAACTTTATGAATGGTTTATTAAAGCAGTGAGGACTTTCCTATTGTATCATAACTTAGTAGGGAAGAGGGTGACATTCAAAATTTAGGGTTTCAACATTACATCTGGAGAATCCTATAAATCATGGAGCTTTTGATTGTCTCAGTTTCTCTGTTTCGATAACATTCAAATCATATATCATATTCTCCAGGGATCTTGTCTTTCAAGTTTCTGTTTGAAATTTTCATCTTCCTGTCACCGGTATTAATTATAACTTTCAATATATTGTGGAATTGTAGAATTAATGAAATAGGTATGTTATGGAATCAACCATAGATTAGGAATACAATCGATTTCTAGGTTCATAGAATTAAATCTTTACGATTTCACAACTGGAAACTTACCCTAAATTCCCCGCTACATCCATCGTCCAATTCCAGAAGATATCCTTCGATTGAAGGACCTCGTTGTCCGTAACCAAGTGGTGGTTGCCAAGCAATTGTAACGCTGTTGTTTTCTGCACTGCATTCTTTTGGTACAAGAAGTGGTGCTCCTGGCGCTAGAATTCGAATTCAATTAAAGCACAAATTTCTTGGAATGAAAAAATTCAATTCAATTAAAAAATCGTATTTTGCAACTATTCACACCAGGATTTCTATATTAAAGTGCAACCAGTATAAAGCCTTTATGTGCCTTTGTAACAACTTCAATGACCCTAGAATTTTTTTTAATTTCTTCTCTCGATATTTGACCCATATATCTTTTTCTAATATAAATAATAAGCGTATTTATTATTTTGCGATAGTATATTTAACTATTTACTTATTTCTACAAATCCAAAGCTCAAGATACAGCAGTTGATAAAAATACAAAAGTAAAGAAAATAATTTTTTTCCTTTACTGATATTTGATTAATTTACAAATATACTTAATGATTTTTGTATTTTCATTAAATGAAAGGTCATTAACTATAGAAGGTTCAAATTTAATTCTACAACTTCTACGTGGATAATTAAAACCAGTTGCTGAAATACTCGACACCTTTTCTAGGGAAGAGTTTAGTGAAAGGCAATTTGGTGCCTTTAGAAAAGGAAGTTTGTTTAAGACTTTTCCCTTTGCTTTGCCAAGGGATCATTTCGTCATATTATTCCTTGAATACACGAGTTTTAATGACTTTCGTTTATGAGTTGAACAAATGACGTAAATCTTAAAAGTCAATTTTATTAAAATTCATATTATAATGACTTGAATTCAATTATCGTGCCTAATTTTAATAATGTATGGTATTATTTTTAAAGCCCAAAGAAGGTTAAACTTCTATTAATTAAAAAACCATCCTAGTTATATAAATTCATTACCACAACTATTTTACTACACTAGAAAATTTAAACACCTCACTTTGAACTAGATATCGAAAATGTCACTAAAAAAAACTTTCGGGTACGAGTAACGAATTGAAATATAAATTGCATTTTATTGTCTACATTGTAGTTTCGATCCTAGTTCGTGGCTTTAGTGGAAAAAAGATGAAATAAAAAAAAGAGAAAAATAGAACTAAATTAAAGGTGAAGATGTAGTGGAGGACAAGAGTAAAAAAAAAATCTAGAACAGAATAAATGAGATGTTGCTGAAGGGATTGGGAGGAAAGGAGGGAAGTATGATTGTCGGCAATTGAATATTCAGTATTGCAAAGAGGAGTTTTGTTGATTGGCCTTTATAAACTCCACACAGTCTTATTTCTCCTACATAGATTAAATTTGTATTCGTTCGATTACTTAGGGAAGAGAAATTCCATTTGGAATTTAGTTCTTTCGATTTTACAAAATGTACTTTTCTAGAAGTAGTATAAACCCTTTCTGTCCATTCCTTAAAAATATGTTTATTTTAACTAATTTTAACTATGTGACATTTTCGATATTAGTAGAATAATGATTTTAATATAATTTTGAAATACTGAGTTGATATTCTCGTTGACTGAGTAGTCCCTATTTGGCTAGGTCGAGAACTGTCAACTATCCGACAACAATATTCTTAGTGATTGGCAAAATGTTGAATAGTTTTTGAAATTATTTTCAATGATATATTTACTGCTTTGCAGACAAATGTTGAATTTAATTAAAAGAGTGTGAATTCACTTGGTCCAAATGGGGAAAGAATGTAAAACAGAAGGATTACAGAAATTGGAAAAGCGAAAATCTTGTGGGACATTTAGTTGCAAGCTCTATAACGAGAGTGTAAATTGATTGGGTCTTGAAGGGGAATTCTCAAACCCCGTTCCTTTTTCCCTTTACTTCCTTCCTTTTGACCCTCTTCTACATCCCTTCAACGTACATTAAATTAACGTACGCAACAGCGCAATGTAATCAGAATTTGAAGGGATTGCGTGGTCCTCATGTAGGTTCGTATTTACATCTCTGTATATAAATTAGAGTTTAGAATTAAATTTCATATTTAAACTTTGTAAGATAATGTAATTAATTCGCAAAGACGGAATTTTTCTGGAATTATTTCAGAGCATCTTTTTTGATAACGTGAAAGTAACTGGAAACTGTTTCTCTAATTTAAAATTTATGATTAGAATCCAGGTGGTTCATCCACCTGGCGCTGGAGGAGTTTCAAATATGGATCAGGGTTGATTATAAATTGAATGACGAGATGATGAAGGAGGACCGAAAAATATGAATGAAGAGGCAGAGGGCCTTACAATGATCGCCAAGGAAATCAACAAGACTAGCGATATTAAGATTTCCCTCTGCTCTCTTAAAAAAACTTTTATAATATAAAAATCCAAAGCTGAACAAAAACTCCGAATAAAATTATTTTATCAATTATTATTGAATTTTATGGTTGCGTGTCAACAAAACTTTTTTTATCCAAGGGGAAAAGCAGTCGGAAGTGACAGCCATAAGATCATTTATCATAGAAGGAAAATTTCTTTTCTGTCTAATAAGATATATATTCACATGGTCGTAAATTTTACTGTATTTCTCTTGACATTGTAATTTATTTTTTATCATGATATCATTTCAGATCAAAGAATTCAAAACTTATGTAAAAAAATAGTGTAATTAGGAATAATAAGGTAGTAGAGACTAAAAATTTTAATGAAAGGAATATGAAAATTTGATTTTGAAGCAGAAAAAATAGTAGAATAATGGTTTTAATATACTTTTATAATGGGGAAAATTATCCCTTTGCTATTTTAAGTCAACTTAAAATAAACTAATCATTGCGAATGTGGGGTAACTACTTGTTTTTAGAAGTAGGATAGGGACTGTTTCTCTCAAAATAATAATTTTAAAAATACATCTCTTGAAGATAAGATTTTTATTGACATTTATGATTAGTTTATAAACGTGACGAAGGCTAGAAGCAAAAGCAAACAGGATAGATGTACCAAGTGCATTTTCTTCTTGGAATGAATGGAACTGTATCCGATGGGGAATTAAAATCGATATCTGTGGAACAAACCAGGTGCTTTTCATGATAAATTTCACAGTTCTCTGAGAGACAACTGTCTGACCGTAGCTCGATCACAGCTACTGCAGGCCGCCATACATTTTCCATTAGTCCCCCAGTAATAACGGTCAAGCCAATGTCAGACAGTGCGACTATATTTTATATTTCCATTTTTTTTCGACTCAGACTATAATTTGCAAATTTCGCTTGAAATACTTTTGAAACACTAGTCTCATACTTATATAATCAGACATGAAAATTGGTGTCTGCGAAATATAAATTAATGCATATTTTTCATTCCCCCCCCCTCTCTCTCTGAAATGATGACAAAAAAGTGATACCATTTCAGAAGAGAGAAAAGCTATTTTGATATGAAAAGTCATGACAGATGAGAAAAGAAAAGAACCAAGACAGAGAATCAAGAAATCGATATTACTTAACGTCAACTCGCGTGAAAGTTTATCGCTCGAAAGCAAACAGAGTCACCTCCATAAAGACGTACGTTAAGTGGAAAAATAAGTTCACGAAACGTCAGTGCAAATCATGTTACATTTTTTCCAATTGGGTTCATAAAAATCGCAAAATAGATGCCGAAGATTTATATCAAAATTTCCTATTGTTTTTTTTCATATTTGCACTTTCAAAAAATCTTCGTTAACTACTGTAGGTGAAAAAAACAATTATTTTAGAGCGTGGAAAGTTTATTATGAAACGAATTTTTAATATATTCATTTATGTTATCGAAAAAAATAATTTATAATTCAATTCACTGATCAAAATGGAATTACAAAATGAAATAATACAATTTATCAAAGTGGAAAACAAATTGCATTTATGCATGAATTTGTATTTAAAATTAAATTATTCCTTTAATAATATTATGACAGTGAAATTTTACCTGCTTATTAAGTGAATTTCACTTTTCATATAAATTCATCTTTGAGAATGAATTTATTAACAAAAATAAAATTTAAAAGTTAAAAAAAATACAATATCAGTAATCAAAATTATGGTGGGAATTTTAAAAATAAATTTTAAAATATATAAAAAATTTACAGTATTTAAAAATGTGTTTTAAAACATTTAAATAAAAGTAATTCTAAAATTTGTTTCTCGAAATAAAAAGACTCTTGTTTCTAAAGGAAACTGGAGTCTATTTAGAAAAGCATTTTAATCTACTTTATTGTTAATTAAAATTAAAACCATAGAGGTAGAAACACATATCTTAGTTGTCGGGAAATGTAATTTTAATTTGCATGAAACGTGCTTTGTACTTGTAAAAACGAGTGAGGCATTTTGATCAGTGTTTCCTTTTCTTCCTATTTTTTTTCTTCTTTTTTTTTTGGTTGAACGTCATATTTCGCATTTTTATTTGCACTTGCTTCGTCAGGGGCTTTATATTTAATTGTCTTTTTCTTCTCTCTTTTCTGTTCCTAGTGCCTATCCTATCTCCATCTGGCTACAAAGAGAGCCGAACTGAAACGTGGAACTCCACTGACAAAAGCATGATGAATGAAATAAAATCCTTTATGGCAGTTTGCCGGACATTTAATATTACATACGTTCGTGTTTGTCCGGCGCGAGGGTAATCCGTTTCCGGTAAAAACAGGAATTAAGGTGGATTCGTGTGGAAATAACGTGTTGATATACGTATAATTCCAAACCAGTTTTCTCTAACTCTTTCCAAATCACATTTTCGAATTTTTATTTCATTTTTTTAATTTTCTTCTTTTTGTTGTTTAAAATAATTTTTCTGTTGGTATTTGTATTTATTTGGATAGAGTTTTGCAAACTGAGAAAAATTTAAGAGAATTAAATTAGGGAAAGAATTAGTAGAATAACGATTTTGATACAATTTTGAATTACTGGAATAATATCCTAGAGGACTGAACCCAACAGATTTGGGTTAGGCAATGGGACTGTTTGGATGCAACATTATTTGAGGATTAGGGACTTTGATTTTTCTCAAAAATTTAAATAGTGTTGTGTACAAACAATTTTGATTGATAGGGTTTGACAATTAAATCAGATTCACCATGTGAAGAAAAAATAGTAGAATAACGATTTTAATATACTTTTGATAGTACATCATCCCTTTGATGATTTGTTGCAACTTGTCAGACCAACTGTCAGAGATGGACTGAGGTACCCCTAACGTCAAGTTACCTAGTATTGCAGAGTCGAAGTGGGGAGACGAGAGTAAGAGAACCTGCTTCATGGTTGTCTCCCCCTCTCTTGCTCCCCACTCTTCTTCTTCTTTCCCCTCCACCATCCTTGATAACAATTCTTGGAAAATATATTTATGTTTACAAATCTAATTATAATCAACCAGAACGTATTTTTAAAAATAATTTAAAGCAATTCTTCGTTGAGATTAAATTTTATAGTCGATTAATATTCCTTGAAAAGTGAGAGGTTTTTTTTCGCTGATCACTTAGACTTCTTTTTCTATCCGATATTTTAAAAAGTACTTAGCAGCTAATTTTTCTCCGATCGTGAATCAGCAATTTGTTGAAAAGAAAGTTGGGTCTTGCTGGCAAATTCGATAAGAGGTCGAGAGAAGAGTTGGCTAAACCCGACATCGCTATAATACCGAGATCGTTAGCGTAGTTATGCTTCAAGACAGGTAGCTGATTAAACCCTCTTTTGAAACGTTTAGTCAAAGATGAAATATTGTTAAAGAAGTCGCCTGGAGCATAACTTTGAAATTACTGAGTCGCTCTATTTAAGTTTATGTTACAGACAACCATTAGATATACTTTTTTTTAAAATTTCTATTTTGATAATTTAATCCTGTTTTTATAATTCTTTACCTGCAGTTGGATATCGATCTTCTCCTTCGGAAGCTGCGTCCGAAAAATGACAAGCGTTTTTTTTACACGAAAAACCAACAAATGTTTTCATGCACAAATACTTTTTGAAAATATATAAAAAAATTTTTGGAAGAAGACAACGAAAAACAAAAAACATGCTCTCTCTGAAAACCACGATTTCTCAAAACTTAAAGTCTCTTTTTAATGTCTTACCCCAAAAAATTGTTCCATTCTCTGAAAAAAAGATTAGGGTGATTGAATTATTTTGCTTTTTTCATTGGACTTGGTGTATAATTAGAATTTTGCCAATAGGAAATTGACGATAGGCGCAGGCTTGGGTCAATATTGTACTACCGAGTTCAATATTGCTCCAAACTTGTCGATTAATACCCGTAGTATCGGAAAATTTTGAATCTTGCACCTCTACACGAAAAATAAAAAAAACCTCGTCTACTGTTAACTAGTGTTTTCAATAGTTAATTTTCGGATTTAAAAATTTTTCCATTCATAACTGTTAACGTTCGTAGCCATAAGACAATTTGGGGTAAGACTTAAACAAAATATTTTTTTAAATTTTTAACTGAATAACTTTTTGAAATGTATTCCTTCGAGCAGAAGCCGGTAAAGTATAATATGTAATCAAACTAAAAGCTTCTAGTTGTATGCTATTAAAACAAAATTATAGGATAGTGAAAATCTATGTAAAAAGCGGAAATAAAGCAGATTTTTGAACAAAAATATTTTGTACTTAAATTAGAAAAAGGTTTAAAATTAAGGTGCATCAGTTATAAAATTAATTAGATCTGTTGCTGGAAAAGTTTATCGCTTTTAGAAAAAAATTTCCAGTAAGGGATCTTACAGAATCTGTCAAGAAATAGACGTTTGGTCATATCCACTAGTGAAAAAAAAATGTTACGGATGGCTAAACTATTTTTTTACTGATTTGTACCCTCGCCTATGAATCTTTAATATTTGGTTCGATAATATTGTGGGAGGATAAAGTCTTTTATTTTTGCGTGTTGAAAAGTTAGTGGACAGGACAAGGTGGTCTATTTCTCGAGAGACTTGAAGTTGGTTGAATTGAACGTACGTTTCATTTGAACGAATGTAAGCTGATCGATGGCTCGTAGTAGAGGTTTGTCATCGAGAGTGAGGTCGAGGAGAGGAAGTCGAGCAATTTCCTGAACACCCTCAGCGCCACCCCAGGTACTGGCTGCTGTGGCTGCTCTCACGGAAAGCATCCCGCCAATTTGAAGGAAGGCAGCACTGTCAGTTTCCTTCAGCGCCTCGATGCAAAAGGTGAGAAGGGCTGTTGTCGTTTGCAGATGGGTGGCACACCGGGTCACCTGATCCCTTAATGCTCTCACTCTGGCTTCCCTCGTTTGCCTCGCTGCCTCAATCAGTCTTGATTTCCGGGCCTGAAGCATGCTCACCAGGTTGCTCACCCTTTCTTCAACTTCCTTTTCCAATGCGCAACATTCTTCCTGTAAAATTGTAAAAAAAAATTCCATTTTGAAATAATTCGTTCAGTCTTATTCCTGCCTTGTAACTGTATTTCGATAATTTTTGATAATAAATTGTCACTTTCGGCAAACTTTTGAAAAGTTTATAAGTGATTTTTTGGAATTTTTAGCAGCTCTTGTTTATTAGCAACCGGACCTAGGTGCCTCTGCTATTTATTTCCGAATTTGGCAACATTTAGTTAAATTTCTACCTTAACGACATTTTTTCTTTTTTTAATAAAACGTTATGTTATTCAGTGGTCACGTGACTCTTAGTAAAGTATATAGGGCACGTGACCACTGAATAACATGACCAATTCTATTCTACTTCAAAGATTTCATTTCCACCTTATGAAATGTATTCCCTTCCACGAGATAATAATTGAGCATAATTTAAAGAAACTTCTGTTTTAATTTTAAAAACAATGTAGAGGTATAAGAAATAAGAAGAGTTAAAAGTTTGTTAACTCCTGGAAAATCCAGTTAAAAGTTCCCAGTAAAAACAAGAATGCTGCTGCATCTAAGAATACTTTTACAACTTCATCAATTCTAATTAAAAGGTTTCTCCACACAAAATTGCAAAAAAAAAAATCGTCAAGTTTTAAAGAATTTAGTGAAAAAAGGAAAAAATACCCTTCCTGTATTTATTAAGGAATAACAAATTTACTTAAAAATAGATTTGAATTCGTCACAGGGAATATTAAAGGGAAACGTCTCGATTGAACGTCTTTCTAAAGCCACTCGACGTAATCGTTTTACAGCTCGTGTTGCGTAAGGCCAATTTATCCAGTTTATCAAAAGGTTCGATTCGTATAAGGGGAGGTCCATAAAACGTGTGAGAACAGCTTTACGTTAAGCGAAAAATAAAACGATATAAAAATGAGTTGATGGTGAATATAAAGTGAAGCGCGTCTATGTGGTTTATTGGCCATTTTCTTCCAACAGAAAAGCTTAATGACAAAAAAGTGATTTTTTTACCTTAGGCAATAAAAAAATTATCTTTCATACTCGATAAATTTTTTTTTCACCCATAAAAACAGTGGGAAAAAAAATTGAATATATAATTTTATTCATTAAGGGTACGTCAAAGTCGTGTCAGTTTTTTTTAACAATGATGCTCGTAATTATAATACGAAAATCCTCTTATGCTACAATCATTATTCACTCAAAAATATGGAGAAAATTTTTAATTATCCAATTTTCTTTTTTTATATTTCTATATTTTATTAATTGAAACCTGAAAAGCTTATTTATCATCAGCAAGAATGCTTTTCATGCTCGCAATTTATTTTTTTGCGAAGAATTTAATCCGGATATTGAACGAAACTGTCGGGAAATAATACGAAAACAGGGAAACCGTTTTAATAACCAAGGGGAAGCGGACTCAACCGATAATTAATTGTATAGTGGGTAAATTGTTAATTGCCATTGATGTTAATATAGTGGCGGAGGTCAAAAGAGAACGCATGTGTATTACATAAAGTGTAAAGTTTATTTTGAAACGCTAACCATACTTTTGTGAAAATATACTGACAAAACAATATTCCATTTTGGCGTGTGCTTAGTGTGAAAGCATATAATGTTTGCGGGAAAATTGTTATTCCACATAGTATGTGAATATGTTTTCTAAAAAGTGGTATTCCATCGAAATTCACTGCTAGCAGTGTGTCCATGCTAACATGGCTCATTAGGTGTGACGATATATTTTGCTCGCACATAAACCGAGTTTACCCTTTATGTACACATACTGTATCACATGATTATGTGCACGCCACTATGATCAACTACTGAAAAGGGTCTATTGAAAATTGTATGAATATCGTATTTTCATATGCCTTACTTCATTGACTCGCATATATTGAGATGAAAAATCATTTAAGCGTCCTCTGGTATCAAACAGCAATTTACGATCAGGTAAATTGTTTGAATTTTTCAATTCTATTATTTTAAAATATTATTCGTGTATTGTAATGGATTTGTATTTAAGTAGAATTTGGAAAACTGATAAAAATTAAAAGGGGGAAATTAGTAGAATAACGATTTTAATATAATTTTGATTTTGGGAATTATTAATTTGGGCACTTTCAATGTACCCAAATCTCTTGGGAACAACGTCCGCTCCCTAGGCTTGTCAGGGCTCGACTGGTTCGGTACCCAAAAGTCCCCACCATTTTCATTTACGCACCTAAAAGTGGTAGGGACTTTTGTGAGTGACGAACCAATTGGGCACAGTCGGGTACTGACACGACAAGTTGATGGTACTATTTAGAATAAATTTTTTCTCCTCGACGTTAGATGACCACTACTAAGAATCCTGTACATTCCTGCTAGACCTTATCGTGGTGTTGTGGCTTTTTATTAAAGGACTTCCTAACAGCAAAAATCCAATTATCAAGTTCAAAGTCACCAACCCAGGTGAACAGTTATGAAATGAACTCTTACCTCCAGTTCTGCAATTGGTGCTAACATCGAGGAGAAAAAATTTATTTTAAATACTACTATCAACTTGTCGTGTCTGTGCCCGACTGTGCCCAACTGGTTCGACACCCAAGTCCCCACCACTTTCAGGTGCGTACCCGAAAGTGGTGGGGATTTTTGGGTATCGAACCAGTCGAGCCCTGACAGGCCTAGAGAGCGGACGTTGTTCCCAAGAGATATAAGTACATTGATAGTGCCCAAATTAATAATTCCCAAAATCAAAAGTGTATTAAAATCGTTATTCTACTAATTTTTTCCCAAACAAATTTTTAACCCTTTAATTTCTATTATTTTTCAAAAGTCTATACAATTAATGTTTGGTTCTACCAAATGGATTTAATTTAAACCAAGAAAAAATGTCCCTTTCTGTAGAGGATGAGATCGCAAAAAATAATTCCAAAAAAGGAAACGTACCAAGAAGATTTTTTAATTATTTGAATAAATAATGAATGTACGTCGGGACTCATATCTATATTTTCATTGTCTGAGAATTGTACGGTAGAATAGATTGTAATAATGGGAAACATGCATACTTACGTGCACTTTATCTGTCATTCCTTTGAGCCTCTGAATGAACTCCGTTGTAGAACGCGCGCGCTCCGACAACTGCTGCAGATTTTGTGACAGTTCCGTCTGGAAATTAAGAAAATGAAGAAGTAAGAAACAGTGAAATAAGAATATTTATATAACGAAGCAAAATTAAATTTTTTTTATAAATAAAACAATGGAATTATTAGATTCCCCTTTTCTTAAAAGTGGATCCTATTTTAATATGCCTAAAAGTAGGTTTTTTTTTATTTGAAGTATTCGTAACAAATTTTTCTTGACAAATATCAAAGTGCAGTCGAGTTAAGATAAATTATAGACGCCGGTGCATATTTTGACTTCCAAAAACGGTGACCGGAGTCTGTAACTATTACGAAGTCAAAATGCGCAAGCTTTTAAGTTTCCCGAATTAAAAACAAATTTTCCCTCCTATAACATTGAATTTTTTAGCATACATTTTACATAGTTTTAAATTTTTCCTTCATTTTTCTCCTATCACAAAATCCGTTGACACCAACACTCGAATAGGGGGATACTTTTTTCAAACCCCTTTTTTTCTGTGGATCGTCTCGAAAATATATAAGTTTATTTCTTTCGTTAAAATTCGAAAGAGGAAGCAATGTTACGTTTCTTAGGGTGTGCGCAGGTATCGTCTTCAAATCTCATTTATAAAACAAAAAGAAAAAGAAGGAAAATGGAAATTTCGACCAACTATAGTGTGATTTGGGATCATATACACGTGTTTTGAAAGCAAAAAACGTGTTGGAAAATCGTGACAAAAATTTGTATCCAAAAGAGTTTTGGACAGTTGGCCTGAGCTGAAAACGCCGTTGCGGATCGATACACGATGTTGCTTTCTGTGTACGATACGCACACGTGACGACAGAACGTAAATTCATTATAAAAAAAAAACCACCTCAATTTTTTATTTAAAAAAAGCAAATTAACAGTCCTTTTGGAATTTTTTTGCTTATGTGAATAAAAAATTCAAAGTTTTTATTTACAAAGAAAAAATAGAGTAAAATTCATCACTTGAAATTAATTTAACGTATATAGTTTTTCTTGTATTCAACCCAGAATTTGCATTGTCAGATAAAAGAAGAGAATGTTTGCTACTTTTCAATATAACGTACAAGTTCACGAGAATTCTAAGTGAATTTGTTTGCATAGAAATTCAAGTACTCTACAATTCTATACAGTGCACTGTATTGTTCGTTAAGAGACTCAATCGACACCTTTTTCTGCGTGAGCCATGTGAATAAACTCGACTACCGTCATGTTCCGAGGGAACAAAAAAAAACTGCCAATACAGAGATTCGCAGATGCTTAAAATTGTACAAAGGAAATAAATTTGGTTCAACCCTTTACAGGCACCTAAATTTTCGAGCAAATTCCGTAAAAAGAAAAAAAAATTCCTAAAAAAATACCCTTGTGTAATTTTTAGATTGTAAATTTTAGTTTGATGAAAATAAATTTTATAATAGGATATCTGTGAAGAATCTCCAGACTGACGTAATTTTTCATTTAAAGGGTAAAATTTACATATTGCCAATATGCTCTGCACGGAAAATCTATTTTCCAGACTCGTTTATCGCCAATTTCCTCTCTCTCTTTCTCTCTTTTACTCTCCACTCTTTACTTCTCGCTTTTCTTAAGATTACTTTCGTCTTGCTGCCATGAAGCTTTATCCTAAAGACTCAGTCGATCGTCTCCGGGCATATTTTTCAGGATAACTTATTTTCTCTTCATTGTCCCAGCATTACGTTCCTGTGTGCAACTCAATTTACTCAAAAGTATGATGATGTATCTTTTCCTTGCCTGGGGGCATTCATTTACTCCTAAAGGTGTATATTTTCTGGCACAGACACACGAACGTCTCTCATCGCGCCAGACGAATTTTCCTTTCCCTCAGGGGAGGCGACACGGCTGATGAAATTAAAGACGAATTAGATTTTCTACAACTTCAACTCATTTGAATTTTCTTTTCAATATTAATGACTCGTGTCAAGAATTATTTAACCCACTTAAATCGTTCAGTGTTAAATAAGTTTGTCATTCCAAATATTAGAGGTGATTAATTATAATTGTTGATAATTGTTAAAAATGTTCCAGTGGGCACTGGGTTGTGTACCAGGGTTCTGGGTTCCTTCAGATTCTTCAGGTCTGCGTCCAAGTTAATAAAGCAACTCACCACGTTCAGGTCGCTGAACCCCATGTACCTTAGCATCAGAGGATTTGAAAAGGACGTCAATAAACGGTTCATAAGACGTTCTATGCCTGACCCATGAGGGAACCCAGGACCCAGGAGTTTATACTCCTGGGTTTTGAATAATGGGTCCTGGGTTTCTTCACATACTGCAGGTCAGTCAATCACAAGTTTGCAGATTGTTTGAGAACCCCAGGGATACCTTGAGAACCTTTGGAATCTTTAGGAGAAGAGGAATTCACCCGAAGACGGAAGTGGTTTTTAGTGGGTCGACCAGAACCCAGGGATTTTTTCCTTGGGTTCACTAGATACTTAGGAATCTAGGAAAGTCGATCCCAGGGTTTTATTCCCTACGGAACCTTTAGGAGGAACAAAATCCAGCTGATGACGAAAGCGGATTTTAATGGGTCGACCAGAATCCGCGGACCTTTTCTCAGGGTTCTTCAAAAATCATTTGGGATCTACAAACGTAGATACAAGGGACTTTTCCGTATGAAACTATCAGGAGAAAAAGAATCCCTCACCTAAAAATTTAATTATATTATTTTAATTTAATAAAATATGCAACCTAAAAGATTCTTAGCTGTCTGCGAATGTTCCGTTAGGTGACATGATCAGAATTTACCTTATAGTCAAAGTAGCGTCGTCTCATATTAAAAACTCTAAATTCCCGCTGCAAATTACATCCATGACAATATTCTCTCTCATATGAAAAGGACTCCTTTTAATAAAGCCTACCGCAATAGAAAAAAAGGTGCATCATAATGAGAGAAATTCGCTAAAATTAAAATTACGTTTTTCCTATCTCTCCATTTTAATTAGAAAATGTAATATTTCCATTTGTTGAAATACACAGCAACGAAAATTCACAATTGAAGCAAATTCTCGTAAATTTGACACACCAATTCATGTACCGATATTTTCATCGTTGACTATAATTCACTTTCTGGATTCATCCAAGCGCAGCTCTTTGCCAACGAGCGAGGTGAAATGGAGCCGAGGTCACAGAGACGAAGATTCGATTATACCCCTTTGGTATGTTCTCGACAGGCACCCAAGAAGCTCAGAAAGGTTTCGAAATTTAATTCTCTCCCATTCCAACTAAATATTAAATCCCTCTGCTCTTTAAGCCAAATATATAAATTTGTCTACTCTACTCCCTTTCTCTCTCTCTCTGTCTGCTCTCTTTTTGTTTCCGTAACATCGTTTCATAATTTCTATATATTCAATTATTTTCGAAAAAAAGAAAGAGAGTGGAAAAAAATTGTATGCGCATTTTTGCCAAATCTGATATCTGTTGTCGCTTTCATTTTTCAAGTGATTCAATTCGTGGGGGGAGATATATCGAAATGCAAGAGCTGAAGGAGATCTTATTAGCATGAAAAGGGCCTCTCATGAATTTATTCTCCGAGAATCGAAGAGGCAGAAAGAGTTGCGAGAATCGAATTGCTCTGGAATAGACTGCATTAAATCCTTACATCTTGTACACTCTTCGTTTGTTTCGAATAAAGTTGAACAGAGCGAAAGGGAAAAACAGAATTCGATTTGCGAGTTTTTTCTTTAGGATAGAATTTATACTCTTTGAAAAGACTATTTTTTATGATTGCAGGAAAAATTTTGCCACCTCTTTCTGTTTTTTCTTGATAATTATTTGGGAGCAATAACTGGATTTTAATTATTCGATTGTATAAATTACAAATCTTTTTATATTTGAAATAAATTAGATTCTTTTTTCATTCTTAAAAAAAATTTCTAGTTTATAACCAAACTTGGTCTGCACGTGTAATTATTTCTTGATCTCTAATCATGAACTATATAAATTTCGGTAGAAATACTCCTCAGGTTAAGAGCGCTGCTTCTCGAAAATGGTGCGGCGGCATTACGAAGTTATGATACCCATAGTTTTGAGGCGTCTGCTCACTTATTAAAGGAAGAAGACTTGTCGTACTAAAATCCCCAAGACTAGACAATTTACATTCATAGCGCCACTGTTCCCAACATCATTATAAACGAATTCTAATGTATTCTATATCCTTATATAATTTCTTGAAGCATTAAGGAAACCAAATTAATAATTTAATTGAATTTTGATTTGACTTTCGACTCCATTCGAAACGAACAAAGAATTTTCGATACAATACGAAATAGTAGCAACAAAGAAGTATTGAAGAAAAGAGTCGAGAATTATTATAGAAAGGATGAATGGAAATTTACAATAACAATTATCATCACAATAGAATGAAATTCACTGAAGGTTTAAAAAGATTTATGGTACTTATTTTTATTTTGGAATAAATTGATATTAGAGAGATAGGAAGGTAATCTAGACAATCAAGATTATCATTCAGGACTGATAAACTTTTTAATCCGATAACAAATTATCATTGGGGAAAAGTTTGGAATACGGATTTTAAGTCTATGGAATTGTTTGAAAGAGTAAAAAAACAGTCCTCCATATAGCGACGCAAAAACTTTTTATTGGCACAAGGAGGGGTAGAGTGTGATTGTTATATGGACGATTTCAATTTGCAACTGGGAAAGCTCGCATCTTGAATTACGGAAGCTCGTAACGCTATTCATGCTCCACTGTAATTAAGTTACTTCTTATAAGAGTTAATGCTTTATACTATCAAGTCGAATAAATCCCTTGGTTTTCGTTTGAATTTCTAAAGCCGACTTATCTATTACAGTTTCGATAAGACATGGCCAGAAAGGGGAAATTGGTCTTTTGCCTAGGTCACGCTAATCTCCACTATTGAACACGCACATTAATAGTGCGAGATTACCTTCTTCAATTTTTAGGAGGGTCTTATTAATTTCTTTTAAACGTATATTGTTTGTTGACTCCTCATTTTTATTTACTCACTATTTCTTAAATTAA